ACTAGTGGGAAGGGTAGGACACTAGTGGGAAGGGTAGGACACTAGTGGGAAGGGTAAGACACTAGTGGGAAGGGTAGGACACTAGTGGGAAGGGTAGGACACTAGTGGGAAGGGTAGGACACTAGTGGGAAGGGTAAGACACTAGTGGGAAGGGTAGGACACTAGTGGGAAGGGTAGCACACTAGTGGGAAGGGTAAGACACTAGTGGGAAGGGTAGGACACTAGTGGGAAGGGGACTAGGGTAGGACACTAGTGGGAAGGGGACACTAGTGGGAAAGACACTAGTGGGAAGGGGAAGGGTAGGACACTAGTGGGAAGGGTAAGACACTAGTGGGAAGGGTAGGACACTAGTGGGAAGGGTAGGACACTAGTGGGAAGGGTAAGACACTAGTGGGAAGGGTAGGACACTAGTGGGAAGGGTAGGACACTAGTGGGAAGGGTAAGACACTAGTGGGAAGGGGGACACTAAGGGTAAGACACTAGTGGGAAGGGTAAGACACTAGTGGGAAGGGTAGGACACTAGTGGGAAGGGTAAGACACTAGTGGGAAGGGTAGGACACTAGTGGGAAGGGTAGGACACTAGTGGGAAGGGTAAGACACTAGTGGGAGGGTAGGACACTAGTGGGAAGGGTAAGACACTAGTGGGAAGGGTAAGACACTAGTGGGAAGGGTAAGACACTAGTGGGAAGGGTAAGACACTAGTGGGAAGGGTAGGACACTAGTGGGAAGGGTAGGACACTAGTGGGAAGGGTAGGACACTAGTGGGAAGGGTAGGACACTAGTGGGAAGGGTAGGACACTAGTGGGAAGGGTAGGACACTAGTGGGAAGGGTAGGACACTAGTGGGAAGGGTAGGGTAGACACTAGTGGGAAGGGTAGGACACTAGTGGGAAGGGTAGGACACTAGTGGGAAGGGGACACTAGTGGGAAGGGTAGGACACTAGTGGGAAGGGTAAGACACTAGTGGGAAGGGTAGGACACTAGTGGGAAGGGTAGGACACTAGTGGGAAGGGTAAGACACTAGTGGGAAGGGGGTGGGAAGACACTAGTGGGAAGGGTAGGACACTAGTGTAGGAAGGGTAAGACACTAGTGGGAAGGGTAGGACACTAGTGGGAAGGGTAGGACACTAGTGGGAAGGGTAAGACACTAGTGGGAAGGGTAGGACACTAGTGGGAAGGGTAAGACACTAGTGGGAAGGGTAGAACACTAGTGGGGGTAGGACACTAGTGGGAAGGGTAAGACACTAGTGGGAAGGGGAAGGGTAGGACACTAGTGGGAAGGGGACACTAGTGGGAAGGGTAAGACACTAGTGGGAAGGGTAAGACACTAGTGGGAAGGGTGGAAGGTTAGGACACTAGTGGGAAGGGTAAGACACTAGTGGGAAGGGTAGACACTAGGGAAGGGTAGGACACTAGTGGGAAGGGTAGGGTAAGACACTAGTGGGAAGGGTAAGACACTAGTGGGAAGGGTAGGACACTAGTGGGAAGGGTAAGACACTAGTGGGAAGGGTAAGACACTAGTGGGACACTAGTGGGAAGGGTAAGACACTAGTGGGAAGGGTAGGACACTAGTGGGAAGGGTAAGACACTAGTGGGAAGGGTAGGACACTAGTGGGAAGGGTAGAACACTAGTGGGAAGGGGACACTAGTGGGAAGGGTAGGACACTAGTGGGAAGGGTAGGACACTAGTGGGAAGGGTAAGACACTAGTGGGAAGGGTAGGGTAAGACACTAGTGGGAAGGGTAGGACACTAGTGGGAAGGGTAAGACACTAGTGGGAAGGGTAGGACACTAGTGGGAAGGGTAGGACACTAGTGGGAAGGGTAAGACACTAGTGGGAAGGGTAGGGTAGACACTAGTGGGAAGGGTAGGACACTAGTAGACACTAGTGGGAAGGGTAGGACACTAGTGGGAAGGGTAGGACACTAGTGGGAAGGGTAGGACACTAGTGGGAAGGGTAGGACACTAGTGGGAAGGGTAGGACACTAGTGGGAAGGGTAAGACACTAGTGGGAAGGGTAGGACACTAGTGGGAAGGGTAGGACACTAGTGGGAAGGGGACACTAGTGGGAAGGGTAGGACACTAGTGGGTAGGACACTAGTGGGAAGGGTAGGACACTAGTGGGAAGGGTAGGACACTAGTGGGAAGGGTAGGACACTAGTGGGAAGGGTAGGACACTAGTGGGAAGGGTAGGACACTAGTGGGAAGGGTAGGACACTAGTGGGAAGACACTAGTGGGAAGGACACTAGTGGGAAGGGTAAGACACTAGTGGGAAGGGTAGAACACTAGTGGGAAGGGTAGGACACTAGTGGGAAGGGTAAGACACTAGTGGGAAGGGTAAGACACTAGTGGGAAGGGTAGAACACTAGTGGGAAGGGTAGAACACTAGTGGGAAGGGTAGGACACTAGTGGGAAGGGTAGGACACTAGTGGGAAGGGTAAGACACTAGTGGGAAGGGTAAGACACTAGTGGGAAGGGTAGGACACTAGTGGGAAGGGTAAGACACTAGTGGGAAGGGTAGGACACTAGTGGGAAGGGTAGGACACTAGTGGGAAGGGTAAGACACTAGTGGGAAGGGGGACACTAGTGGGAAGGGTAAGACACTAGTGGGAAGGGTAAGACACTAGTGGGAAGGGTAAGACACTAGTGGGAAGGGTAAGACACTAGTGGGAAGGGTAAGACACTAGTGGGAAGGGTAAGACACTAGTGGGAAGGGTAGAGACACTAGTGGGAAGGGTAGGACACTAGTGGGAAGGGTAAGACACTAGTGGGAAGGTAAGACACTAGTGGGAAGGGTAAGACACTAGTGGGAAGGGTAGGACACTAGTGGGAAGGGTAGGGTAGACACTAGTGGGAAGGGTAGGACACTAGTGGGAAGGGTAGGACACTAGTGGGAAGGGTAAGACACTAGTGGGAAGGGTAGGACACTAGTGGGAAGGGTAGGACACTAGTGGGAAGGGTAGGACACTAGTGGGAAGGGTAGGACACTAGTGGGAAGGGTAAGACACTAGTGGGAAGGGTAGGACACTAGTGGGAAGGTAAACACTAGTAGGACACTAGTGGGAAGGGTAGGACACTAGTGGGAAGGACACTAGGTAAGACACTAGTGGGAAGGGTAAGACACTAGTGGGAAGGGTAGGACACTAGTAGTGGGAAGGGTAGGACACTAGTGGGAAGGGTAGGACACTAGTGGGAAGGGTAGACACTAGTGGGAAGGGTAAGACACTAGTGGGAAGGGTAAGACACTAGTGGGAAGGGTAGGACACTAGTGGGAAGGGTAGGACACTAGTGGGAAGTGGGAAGGGTAGGACACTAGTGGGAAGGGTAGGACACTAGTGGGAAGGGTGGGAAGGGTAAGACACTAGTGGGAAGTAAGACACTAGTGGGAAGGGTAGGACACTAGTGGGAAGGGTAAGACACTAGTGGGAAGGGTAAGACACTAGTGGAAGGGTAGACACTAGGGAAGGGTAGGACACTAGTGGGAAGGGTAGGGGACACTAGTGGGAAGGGTAAGACACTAGTGGGAAGGGTAGGACACTAGTGGGAAGGGTAGGACACTAGTGGGAAGGGTAAGACACTAGTGGGAAGGGGGTAGGGTAAGACACTAGTGGGAAGGGTAGGACACTAGTGGGAAGGGTAGGACACTAGTGGGAAGGGTAAGACACTAGTGGGAAGGGTAAGACACTAGTGGGAAGGGTAGGACACTAGTGGGAAGGGGAAGGTTAGGACACTAGGGTAGGACACTAGTGGGAAGGGTGGGAAGGGTAGACACTAGTGGGAAGGGTAAGACACTAGTGGGAAGGTAGGACACTAGTGGGAAGGGTAGACACTAGTGGGAAGGGTAGGACACTAGTGGGAAGGGTAGGACACTAGTGGGAAGGGTAGGACACTAGTGGGAAGGGTAGGACACTAGTGGGAAGGGTAGGACACTAGTGGGAAGGGTAGGACACTAGTGGGAAGGGTAAGACACTAGTGGGAAGGGTAAGACACTAGTGGGAAGGGTAGGACACTAGTGGGAAGGGTAAGACACTAGTGGGAAGGGTAGGACACTAGTGGGAAGGGTAAGACACTAGTGGGAAGGGTAGGACACTAGTGGGAAGGGTAAGACACTAGTGGGAAGGGTAGGACACTAGTGGGAAGGGTAAGACACTAGTGGGAAGGGTAGGGTAAGACACTAGTGGGAAGGGTAAGACACTAGTGGGAAGGGTAAGACACTAGTGGGAAGGGTAAGACACTAGTGGGAAGGGTAAGACACTAGTGGGAAGGGTAAGACACTAGTGGGAAGGGTAAGACACTAGTGGGAAGGGTAAGACACTAGTGGGAAGGGTAAGACACTAGTGGGAAGGGTAAGACTAGTGGGAAGGGTAAGACACTAGTGGGAAGGGTAAGACACTAGTGGGAAGGGTAAGACACTAGTGGGAAGGGTAAGACACTAGTGGGAAGGGTAAGACACTAGTGGGAAGGGTAAGACACTAGTGGGAAGGGTAGTAGTGGGAAGGTAAGGTGGGAAGGGTAAGACACTAGTGGGAAGGGTAAGACACTAGTGGGAAGGGTAAGACACTAGTGGGAAAGACACTAGTGGGAAGGGTAAGACACTAGTGGGAAGGGTAAGACACTAGTGGGAAGGGTAAGACATTAGTGGGAAGGGTAAGACACTAGTGGGAAGGGTAAGACACTAGTGGGAAGGGTAAGACACTAGTGGGAAGGGTAAGACACTAGTGGGAAGGGTAAGACACTAGTGGGAAGGGTAAGACACTAGTGGGAAGGGTAAGACACTAGTGGGAAGGGTAAGACACTAGTGGGAAGGGTAAGACACTAGTGGGAAGGGTAAGACACTAGTGGGAAGGGTAAGACACTAGTGGGAAGGGTAAATAGAGACTTGGGGAAGGGGGGGGCGTACTGATGCTGTTAACAGTAACAACGGACCAGACACCAACAGTAACAACGGACCAGACACCAACAGTAACAACGGACCAGACACCAACAGTAACAACGGACCAGACACCAACAGTAACAACGGACCAGACACCAACAGAAACAACGGACCAGACACCAACAGAAGCAACGGACCAGACACCAACAGAAACAACGGACCAGACGGCAACTGTAACAACGGACCAGACACCAACAGTAACAACGGACCAGACGGCAACAGAAGCAACGGACCAGACACCAACAGAAGCAACGGACCAGACACCAACAGAAACAACGGACCAGACACCAACAGAAGCAACGGACCAGACACCAACAGAAACAACGGACCAGACACCAACAGAAACAACGGACCAGACGGCAACAGAAACAACGGACCAGACACCAACAGAAGCAACGGACCAGACACCAACAGAAGCAACGGACCAGACGGCAACAGAAACAACGGACCAGACACCAACAGAAGCAACGGACCAGACACCAACAGAAACAACGGACCAGACGGCAACAGTAACAACGGACCAGACACCAACAGAAGCAACGGACAAGTAACGAACCAAGCAGCAACAAGAAAAGTCTTAACAGCGAATAAGACCCACGTAACCAGGCCCTGAACGGCTGAGCCGCCAAGCCCTAAAACTGCCACTTTTCTTCCCACAGAAACTCTACCGCTTTCAGACGATATCCTAAAGCAGAGTCTGACTCTTGTTTCATTTTAAATTTGTGGGGAGAGTTTTTTGGAGGGTTAGTTGTTCGAGTACAAAGTAAAGTGGTGTTTTGAGGCGTTTTTTAAGTGTCTTGAACACACACTCAGGAAGCGAGACACTTCAGAATTGTTTGGGGAGTGAAGGTGGATTGGATTTGTTTATTTCTAGGATTAGGAAAGGTTTAGGATTAGGAGTTCGGAGGGTTCGAATCCCAGGCATCTACCAACATGTCAACTAATCTCTCTCACACCTACTTGTGTCTCTCTACACTCACTTACACCACCTACACCCACTTACACCCACCTACACCCCCTTACACCCACCTACACTCACCTACACCCCCCTACACCCCATACACCCACCTACACTCACCTACACCCCCCTACACCCACCTACACCCACCTACACCCACCTACACCCACTTACACCCCATACACCCACCTACACCCACCTACACTCACCTACCCCTCCATCACCCCCTACACCCCCCAACACCCCCCTACACCCACCTACACCCACCTACACCCACCTACACCCCATACACCCACCTACACCCCCAACACCCCCCTACACCCACCTACACCCACCTACACCCACTTACACCCCATACACCCACCTACACCCACCTACACCCACTTACACCCTATACACCCACCTACACCCACCTACACCCCATACACCCACCTACACCCACCTACACCCACCTACACCCCCCTACACCCCCTACACCCCCCTACAACCCCCAACACCCCCCTACACCCCCTACACCCCCAACACCCCCCCTACACCCCCATACACCCACCTACACCCACCTACACCCCCCTACACCCCATACACCCACCTACACCCACCTACACCCACTTACACCCACCTACACCCCGCTACACCCCATACACCCACCTACACCCCATACACCCACCTACACCCACCTACACCCCCCTATCCCCCATACACCCACCTACACCCACCTACACCCCATACACCCACCTACACCCACCTACACCCCATACACCCACCTACACCCCCCTACACCCCATACACCCACCTACACCCACCTACACCCCATACACCCACCTACACCCACCTACACCCACTTACACCCCATACACCCACCTACACCCACTTACACCCACTTACACCCACCTACACCCACTTACACCCCCTACACCCCCCTACACCCCCCTACACCCCCCTACACCCACCTACACCCCCCTACACCCCCCTACCCCTCCATCACCCCCTACACCCCCCAACACCCCCCTACACCCACCTACACCCACCTACACCCACTTACATCCCATACACCCCCCTACACCCCCCTACACCCACCTACACCCACCTACACCACCTACACCCACCTACACCACCTACACCCCCCTACACCCCCCTACACCCCCTACACCCCCCTACACCCCCCTACACCCCCAACACCCCCCTACACACCCCCTACCACCAACACCCCCCCTACACCACCTACCCCCACCTACACCCACCTACACCCACCTACACCCCTACACCCCCCTACACCCCATACACCCACCTACACCCCCCTACACCCCAACACCCCCCTACACCCCAACACCCCCCTACACCCCCTACACCCCCTACACCCACCAACACCCCCCTACACCCCCTACACCCCTCTACACCCCCCAACACCCACCTACACCCCCTACACCCCCCTACACCCCCAACACCCACCTACACCCCCTACACCCCCTACACCCCCAACACCCACCTACACCCCCTAGACCCCCCAACACCCACCTACATCCCCTACACCCCCCTACACCCTCCTACACCCCCTACACCCCCCAACACCCCCCTACACCCCCTACACCCCCATCACCCCCCCTACACCCCCATACACCCACCTACACCCACCTACACCCCCCTACACCCCATACACCCCCTACACCCACCTACACCCCATACACCCCCTACACCCACCTACACCCACCTACACCCACCTACACCCACCTACACCCCCCTACACCCACCTACACCCACCTACACCCACCTACACCCCCCTACACCCTCATACACCCACCTACACCCACCTACACCCACTTACACCCACCTACACCCCCCTATGCCCCATACACCCACCTACACCCCATACACCCACCTACACCCACCTACACCCCCCTACCCCCCATACACCCACCTACACCCACCTACACCCCATACACCCACCTACACCCACCTACACCCACCTACACCCCATACACCCACCTACACCCCCCTACACCCCATACACCCACCTACTCCCACCTACACCCACCTACACCCCATTCACCCACCTACACCCACCTACACCCACTTACACCCCATACACCCACCAACACCCACTTACACCCACTTACACCCACCTACACCCACTTACACCCCCTACACCCCCCTACACCCCCCTACACCCACCTACACCCCCCTACCCCTCCATCACCCCTACACCCCCCAACACCCCCCTACACCCACCTACACCCACCTACACCCACTTACACCCCATACACCCCCCTACACCCCCCTACACCCACCTACACCACCTACACCCACCTACACCACCTACACCCCCCTACACCCCCCTACACCCCCTACACCCCCCTACACCCCCCTACACCCCCAACACCCCCTACACACCCCCTACCACCAACACCCCCCCTACACCACCTACACCACCTACACCCACCTACACCCACCTACACCCCTACACCCCCCTACACCCCATACACCCACCTACACCCCCTACACCCCCCTACACCCCCCTACACCCCAACACCCCCCTACACCCCCTACACCCACCAACACCCCCCCTACACCCCCTACACCCCTCTACACCCCCCAACACCCACCTACACCCCCTACACCCCCCTACACCCCAACACCCACCTACACCCCCTACACCCCCTACACCCCCAACACCCACCTACACCCCCTACACCCCCCAACACCCACCTACACCCCCTACACCCCCCTACACCCACCTACACCCCCTACACCCCCCAACACCCACCTACACCCCCAACACCCCCCTTCACCCCCCAACACCCACCTACACCCCCCAACACCCACCTACACCACCTACACCCCCCTACACCCCCTACACCCCCAACACCCACCTACACCCCCTACACCCTCCAACACCCCCTACACCCCCCTACACCCACCTACACCCCCCAACACCCACCAACACCCCCCTACACCCCCCAACACCCACCTACACCCCCCAACACCCACCTACACCCCCTACACCCCCTACACCCCCCAACACCCACCTACACCCCCCAACACCCACCTACACCCCCTACACCACCCCCACACCACCTACACCCCCCCACACCCACCTACACCCCCCAACACCCACCTACACCCCCTACACCCCCCCCACAACACCTACACCCCCCACACCCACCTACACCTCCCAACACCCACCTACACCCCCTACACCCCCCTACACCCCCCCTACACCACTACCAACATCTCCCAGCAAGTGTCAACACGACCCGTAATTAATATCAAATAAGCTGACAAAAGATCATATCAAAGGCTGCCTTAACTTGCTCCATTTAATTATTGGTGTAGAGACCAGGGGCCAGACTCACGAAGCTGTTACGCAAGCACTTACAAACCTGGGGCCAGACTCACGAAGCAGTTACGCAAGCACTTACAAACCTGGGGCCAGACTCACGAAGCAGTTACGCAAGCACTAACAAACCTGGGGCCAGACTCACGAAGCAGTTACGCAAGCACTTACAAACCTGGGGCCAGACTCACGAAGCAGTTACGCAAGCACTTACGAACCTGGGGCCAGACTCACGAAGCAGTTACGCAAGCACTTACAAACCTGGGGCCAGACTCACGAAGCAGTTACGCAAGCACTTACAAACCTGGGGCCAGACTCACGAAGCAGTTACGCAAGCACTTACGAACCTGGGGCCAGACTCACGAAGCAGTTACGCAAGCACTTACAAACCAGAAGACAGATTTACGAAGCAGTTACGCAAGCACTTACAAACCAGGAGACAGACTCGCGAAGCAGTTACGCAAGCACTTACAAACCAGGAGACAGACTCACGAAGCAGTTACGAAAGCACTTACGAACCAGGAGACAGACTCGCGAAGCAGTTACGCAAGCACTTACAAACCAGGAGACAGACTCACGAAGCAGTTACGCAAGCACTTACAAACCAGGAGACAGACTCGCGAAGCAGTTATGCAAGCACTTACAAACCAGGAGACAGACTCGCGAAGCAGTTACGCAAGCACTTACAAACCAGGAGACAGACTCGCGAAGCAGTTACGCAAGCACTTACAAACCAGGAGACAGACTCTCGAAGCAGTTACGCAAGCACTTACAAACCAGAAGACAGACTCACGAAGCAGTTACGCAAGCACTTACGAACCAGGAGACAGACTCACGAAGCAGTTACGCAAGCACTTACAAACCAGGAGACGGACTCACGAAGCAGTTACGCAAGCACTTACAAACCAGGAGACAGACTCGCGAAGCAGTTATGCAAGCACTTACAAACCAGGAGACAGACTCGCGAAGCAGTTACGCAAGCACTTACAAACCAGGAGACAGACTCGCGAAGCAGTTACGTAAGCACTTACAAACCAGAAGACAGACTCACGAAGCAGTTACGCAAGCACTTACAAACCAGGAGACAGACTCACGAAGCAGTTACGAAAGCACTTACGAACCAGGAGACAGACTCGCGAAGCAGTTACGCAAGCACTTACAAACCAGGAGACAGACTCACGAAGCAGTTACGCAAGCACTTACAAACCAGGAGACAGACTCGCGAAGCAGTTATGCAAGCACTTACAAACCAGGAGACAGAC